TTACGACCTTGCTAAGATTTACAAATCTGACAGAAATTGGTTCTATCGCGAAAACTTACCGATTTCAATGACACCGAATGAAGATGTGAAACAAATAGTTCAAGATACGTTACCTCAAACACACTATGATATGAAAGGTTGTACAATTTTTACCTTCAAAGAAGATTTGCCATTGTTAAAGGAAAAAATAACAGAGTATTTTGACAACTTCAAACAAGCAGAGTAAATGAACTCTTTATTTTTATTGACTTTTTACAATTTGAACTTTGTTTGCGTAGATATGAATTCTGAAAGAAGTATGAGGGTCTTGTATGACTTTGTACTTCTCCCATAGTTCATGTCTGTCAAACTTACCTGCCATGGACTCTTTCATAAGTTCCATGAAATCGTCTTCGGACAATCGCGGAAAAGTATAATGTCAGTAAGTATTCTTTTAACATCCTTACTTAAACTCTTGGCTGTCTGTACACAAATGACAACTGAGATGTTAAAGTGCCTAAGTTTCTTAAGAATTCGACACATATCTTGTTCTCTATTCTTTAACAAAGGATGAGAGGCGAAATCATCTAAGATAAGAAGACATCTATGAGGGTAAGTCTTTCCCAATCGTAAGATTGCAATTTCTTCGAAATGTATTCTATCTCTTTCTGTTTGTTTCTGAAGTGTTTCTTCTCTAATATTCTCTGCATTTCCTCATTTGGGTCTTTAAACTTAGAATTTATATACTCATTTATAGCATTATACTTCAAAACTCTCTTTTGGTACTTCTTTATCCAATCTAACAACTCAGTATCCTTTATACATACTAACTTAGACTTCTTTATAATATCTTTGAACGAATTGACGGTTTGGTCAAATTGACCAGAAGTACTACAAATGACAACTAACTCAATAGAATGGGTTCTTCTCATCTAGTTCTTGTTGTTGTGCAGCCATTTTAAGATAAGTGAAAGTCTTACCCGACCCAGGTGGTGCAATTAGACTGTTATACCATTCTGAGCAAAATAAGAACTTGTCATGTATGGGTTTTATCTGAGGCATTTTCTAACTTCCTCTTTGTTTCTTGTTTAAAACATTCTCAAATTTCTTGTCAATGTCAGCAAACTTTTTTTCTAACATATTTTTAGAAAAATTAAAATTTTTATCTTTTAGAAAATGTCTAGCGATTTCGCTATCTATATTCGAGACAAGCTTTTCGACAGCAAAACATCTGTCGACCATAAAATCTTACATAGTGTAAACAAGAAAGGGGAATTTGTTCTAAAGTTCTGTTTCTGGGAATATGACAAGAACCATAAAACATTAAGCAGAGCAGTCTTAAAATTTGTCAATGACAGACTGTTGACAGAGATGACGCCGATTGGAAAGATGAAGTCCAACAAAAGTTCTTAGAATGCAAAGAAGACACATGCGCTGTTCTTGAAGATGAAATAGAAACAGAATAGATGAGCTATTAAAGGACAAAGAACTTTTACATAAATATGGTTCGGAGAAATTTGACATAACTCCACCAGAAAAGAAGAAGAGAGAAAAGAAAGAAAAGAAAGTAGAAGAAGAGAAGAAAGAACCTGAACCAGTTCCAGAGAAAAGAAATTTGACATGTAAAAATAAAATTTTATTTTTAGAACATTTCTGGGTCAATGTCAATGTTCTCTTCCTCTTTAGGAGCAAACACTGGCTTAGACTCTAAAATCTTTTTACCCAATTTACCTTGAACTTCTACAACTTTAGACTCATAATATTCATAGTCGTCTGCTTTCTTTGGTTCATAAGGTATAACAAGTTTGTATGCTTTGCCTTCTTTAAGGTTTGAAAACCTTCTGTCAAAACTTTCTTTGACTGCTAACAAACCTTCTATGTCTAAGTCTTCAAATTTCGCACCATTTTTAGTCACAATAGCAAATTAACTGGTTCGATGTTCCAAACTTTGCTGAATGAAGACTTTTCAAAATGGTAGAAGTAAACATTCAAATATGTGAATGGGTCTAGTTCTTCTTTAAGTCCTGACATGTACTTGTTTACTGAGATGAATTTTGCCATCTTTTCTATCGGATAAAAAATATTTTTTTTAAAATTTACTCATAAAAAATTTTTCTTTGTATATACACCATTCTGAACATCTAAAAGACTTTTTGACATTTGCCAAGAATGTTCGTTTAGACGCTGTCATATAACCATATTCTTGACAATATTGTTTATACGAATCGTACAATGACCTTTCATCTAAACACTCAAAGTCAGTTTCATCTATGAACAGTTCATATAACACTCTTGTTTGCTTCTAACAATGTTTGTCTCTCTTCGGTATGTGGAATTTGTCTTGGATTGAACTTTGAAATATCTAATGTCATAAAATATGAGAACAAGTGGTTGTAAAAGTCAGATGTCAAAGTTTCTGCTAAGTCGTCAAAATATTCTGTATCTTGCATATGAGAATCTGACGTTCTGACAACTACATATCTTCTGTCAGAACTTTCTAACTTCATCGGAACAGCATTGTTTGAAACCATAATGAAGTTTGCAACATTTTCACAAACTCTTTGGTCTTTATACTTTCTTTCAACACTCCAACTTTGTCTGTTATAAGACTCTTCAAAGCATCTGAGTTCAAAACTTTTGTTGTATCTATACTTTGAAGTTCATTGCAAACTATAAGTTTCATATTCTCTATTGAGGAGTTAAACTTGCCACAGATGTTTCTAAGTTTGTCATATTCGGGTTCGAATAGCCCTCTAACAGTTTGCATAAGATATCTGTAAAGAATGTGTTCTTACCAGTTCCTTGTTTTCCAATTATAATGAGAGCAGTTTCATTTTTAGCACTTGGATGTTGTAAGATGTTTGCAAACCAACATAAGATATACTCATAGACTCTTTCGTTTCCATTGCATATAATTTCTTTGACATGGTCTAACCAAGCTTCTATAATATTTTCTTTCCATTCTACTTGTTCGTATTTATATATCCAGTGAAGATAAATAGAAGTTTGGAGAAGGTGTATAGAACTTTATACCTCGAACTGAAAAATCTTCTAACTTTGACAATAAGATATCCCAAGCATCTAACATCTTCATGCCAACTTGTACAACTTTTATTTTCTTAAGTTTCTGTCTACATTCTTGTTCTGAAACTATTGTCGCTTTAGGTTTGTTAAAGACTACATATCCATTCTTTCATGACATAACATTCTGGGGCAGAGTCGACATAAATGACTAAACGTTTCAAATTCTCGACTGCTTTGTTATAGTCTCTAAATGGACACATATTTCTGAATGCTTGGAAGTCATAAAAATCTGAAACATCTATTCTGTAACATTTTTATAAAAATAAAAAAAAATATTTTTTTTTATTCTTGACTTTGTTGTTGCATTTGTTGCATTTGTTGTTCTTGAGCTATTTGTTGTTGAAGTTGTTCTTGTAATACAATACTTTCACCAGTTGCATCTTCCAATTCGAAACTTTCTGCCGTCATTGACAAATACATAGGACATAAAAGTTTTACAGGAACAAAGTTTGCGTCAACTAATGTCAACGTTATACTTGCCAAAGTGTTTGAGTTCACTAAGGTTGAAAATTCTGCATTCGAATGAACAATAGGCAAACCAGCAGAGAAAGTATTGTTTATACGCATAAGTATCTTTTGGTCATAATAGTTTCTGTCGACATTCGAATAACACTTTGAACCTAAGTTTGAAACAATATATAAGATTGGTGTGCTTAATGTCAATGGAATAGACATTCCTTGTATGACACCTTTTCCTGTTATAGGAAACTGTTGGTAGTAAAAACCAGAAATAAGTTTTGTATTATAGCTCATATTGTTTATAGTAAACTCAGTCGGACATCCAAACATAATGAAACCTGCTCTAGTTGCAGCACATGTTACACCCGTACTTAAAGTATTAAATAAGTCAACAAAACCTGTTGGTGGTATATCTGAGTAAGTATCTTCAAAGGAGTATTTTTTACCATTCACAACAATAAAGTCTTCTGGTGTCAAAAGAGCAAAACAGGCTTTAGTCGTCATTGTGTTTAAGGTTAGTTTACAATATCGTCCTTGAGGACTTTGTAAGTTTGTTGTTATAGAATTATATGACTCAGGGTTTTTAGTCGTAATAGTATAAACCATTATATCTTCTGCCATTTATATATATTTAAAAGTTTTTCTGAAAGTGGAGAAGAACTTCATCTAAACTTTCACATGGCGTTTCTTGAAGTTCTCTGTCTAAGAAGTTCAAATATTTTGTAAAGACATAGAACTTTCCTTTGTCTACACGAACAAACAAAACAGGGTCTTTCATATCGTTCAAAAGTGTGTAAAGTCCTTTACATGAAATAAAGTCTATATTATTTCTGTAGTTTCTGAATTAAAGATATTCGCTAAAATGTTTTGTAAACTGTTTTGAACAGCTGTATAAACCGTTGAATTCGGAACTCTTACGATTTCACCGTCCTTAATAAAGGGCATTGCACATGGCGTAGTGCTTGTATCAAATCTTTCGGGATTATGATTCAACATATATTCTAATGCTTCATATACAGACCTATAAACAGTTGTGTCGTTCTTCATGACAACTTCACCATTTACAATGAATGGCATAGTACATGGAGTTAAAATAGGGTCAAACTTTTCATAGTCCTTCCATGTTATATATTTCTCAGTATTTCCATCAGAAATAACAATATATTTGTCAGTAAGTGTGAGAGAGTATTGCCCAAAATATAAACGTTTAGCTCTGTCAGCTTCATACGCATATGCAGCTATACTCATATTTTAATGAGAATAAAATATTGTTCTATTTACAAAGTACAGACCCGAACGAATACGGGACAGTAAAACTACAAACAAACTTAGGTCTACAGAATGAGGCACTTGCATTCAGAATGGTTGACTTTAATACTATTGCTTCATTCGTTATAACAGATGAAACAGATTTCATGGAGCTTGAAATAGATGGAAAGAAGCACGAAATAAGATTTCACAATAATGTAGAATATAAGATGGAAACATTAGCTGGAGTGTTAAATGCTCTCATAAATACTACAATAAACAAGGATAACGAAGAAAACTTAATGAATGTTAAACTTATTGCAGGAGTTTTGAAGTTCAGTTATGCGAAGGAGTTTAAGATAACACGAATGAGTCATAGAGTTCAATTGCTTCTGGGAGCATATCATATGACATTTCCTTTGAAAAGTGTTGACAAAACGATTGAGATGAAATCTGTTCCATACGTATGTTATGGTAATTGTTTGTACGTTGAGTCAAAAATAGCTAATGTCACAGGTATTTCAGGAGTTAATAGTAAAGGTTCAGTAGAATATAAGTCTTTCTGTTATGAAGTAAATTCAATGTTTATTCCAAACGTTCCTGTCATAGCAACTCATTTAGGTAAATGGGTTCGCATTAGTCCACATAATTTGAAAGACATGCAATTCAGACTTGTTGACTTTCAAGGAGAGCCTGTAGAACTGAAGGCACCAGTGCGAATGACTGTTGAAGTTGACTTTTTAGAAAATATTAAATGCAACAGCTTACAAGAGAACTCAGAGCTAAAAATATAAAGTATGAATGTTATGTATTAGGGCATGAACTTTGGTTGTTGCTGTTTGATGAAACAAATGAGTTATTTATGTCAGTCAAGAGAACAGAAAAATATTGTGTTAGTGAAAACTGCACCAAGTCAATAAGATTAGGTTTGCATTATGAAGATGAGTTCAATACTGTTGAAGAAGTTTTGGATAGATATTACAAATTGCTAACTTGAAATTTTTTGACTGACTGACTGCTTTAATTTACTAAAACATATTTCAAGCAAAGTTTATATTCTGTTGAAAGTTTTGTGTATTCATTCGAATATTTATACTTAAACTCAACTCCTGTAGTTCCTGGTGTTTCAATGATGCGGATGTTACCTATTTTCATGAATGGTGGCGTTTGACCACAGCATTCGATTTCAGGGTCGAGATAGTCAATGACACATTGTTTCCCTGTTATTCGCGATATAACATTTTCAAGGTCCTCCTTTGTTAGAATTATTTGGTTCTTACTTATAAGATTTATCAAAAGCTTCTTATCGTCTTTGAGTAAGATAGTTTGATATAACTGAAGAAGGTAATGGTCTACGTTATCTGAAGGATTTGTTTGAACATTTGTGTAAGGGTTGTCGTTGGCTTCTCTTGAAAGAATTTGGTCTAATGGTGGATACTCTAACTTAACATCTGATGTAGCGTTAGCGTTTGAAGCTGAGTTTAAATTCACCGACTTAAGTTCTGGTTCTTTTTCTTTCAAACACTCTGAACTATAGTTCTTTATGACAATATTGTTTGTCATTCGTGAGTCAACATTTGATGTTGGTTCAATTGGAACATTAACGGCACCAGCTAAGATGGATTTGCTTCTCATTTCATATAGAATAAAAACCTTTTATATGTATGAAATGAACAATATACTCGACAAGGGTTTGAATGTAAAGCTAACGAATGAAAATATTGTTGAATTCACTGAGACAGGAGCTGTGTATAAAGATGTAGAACTACTGAACAAAAGAGCTAAGGGAAGAAGCAGGAACATGAACAAAGGGTGGAAGCCTATAAAAATTTATGTCAATGATGGCTCAGGAGGTTCAAACATAAAGTATGCAGAAAGTTATAGAGTTTATGCTCTCAAAGGTGAAAAGCCTTCATTTAAGAACAGCTATTCTAACGCATATCCTCAAAAGCTAACGGATGGAGAAGTGGATGATATGAATGACAGCAAAAATATTAACAGAAATGGCGACAGAGATGCATGGAATTTGTTTACCATCAGTCAATTGAAGGTTAAGCTTTAAAATAATGTTGGTCGTTCCCATGGAATATTTTTGACTTTAATGGTATTAGTCATGATATGAATCTCAAGGTATGAACGAGGAGAGATGAGAGACTTATATGCTTCCCAAATTTCTTCAAAAGGTAATGTTATACCTGACTGTTTCCAAATGAGTTCAATGTCATAGCGTGAGAAACCTTGAAAGATAACGAAGTCAGTTATGAGACGTTTTATGTTTAAAGCTAAAAACCTCCATGTTTGCATAAGTATTGCTACAGTTAAGTGGTAATGTCTGACTTTAGTAATGATGTTAGCTAATGGTGAGTCTGGTTTTGACACTAAACCTTTTCCGGCGAAGTCGTCACAAACTAATAAAGTGTTTGATGGATATTTTTTGAAGGGGTATTTTGAAAGTTTTGATAGAATGTAGTTTGTAAGTCGTTTCATATCGTAAACTCCTGAGTACTGACGTAAGTGGTGTTTGTCAATAATTCTTTCCATCTCCTCAGAAGTCTTTTGCATTCCTGACTGTATGAACTCTACGATAGCATAATATTTCCTCTTACGTCGAATGTAACGTTGAAGAAATTCAATGAGTTCGCTATCTGGAACTTTAACGACAGAGGCTTGAACTTTTGACATAAATATTTTCGCTGTTGAGTCCATAGAGTCTGAAGTTGCTGATATAATGATTTGGTCATAGTAAGAGTCGTTTCCTAAACGCTCTGTTATGAGTATATGACGAATGAGGTTAAATGTCTTACCTGAACCCATCTTTCCACAATAGAAATACACACCATTTGAACAGAACTCATAGTCCTTACTGAAAGGAAGAATAAGAGAACTGTTGAGCTTTTCACTGCTTTCATTCATGTCTTCATCTACGTCATGTATTAAATGCTTCATTTTATCTCCATTAAAAATGCAAGTCAGAAATATTCAGAACATAGCACCGAGTCTAACTGACAAGAGTATAAAGATATACTATGAACATGTTATGATGAAACCAACCAAAATTCAAGAAAGTCAGTATACTTATGAATATCCAAGACACTGGGTAGAGTATGTAGGAGGTGAGAAAGCTATTGAAATCAGACAGGTTCGAAGTATTCCAGCAGGAAGAACAATATTATTGAAGAACTTTAATGTTTTGAGATATAATGATGAAACAAAGAAGCAAGATAGTTTCCGTGTTGCTGTGTATGTGAACTTAGATACAGGAGATGACATGAAAGTTTTTAATACAAAGCTTCAAACGGTAGTGAGAGAACAACTGACTGCGGAAGGACATCCATTACCTTCAGAAGTTACCATAGCATATAATTTTGAAACAAACTCAATAGATTTTAAAGTCGTCTCTGCAAAGAAGTCAGGTTTTACATTTAATGAAGCAGATGTATATTCGAATGAAAACTTCAAAGCTATTGCATGGTTAGATAATGACGATTGCTTTAAGAAAATCTTTAAATTCAGTGACTCAAAGATGTCAATAGATGACCTTCGTGGAATGTTACCATCGACGTTTACAGTAGAAGGTTCAGCAGGATTGCTTACAAGATTGTCAATTGGTGGTATTTGGTCTCGTGAGAACATTGTTATAAAATCCAGTATAAGTGAATTTGCTGAAGAATCTATATTATGTCTTTCAAACTATATGTATTCGCCGCCGAAGCATTATATAGGGTGTCCAAAGGTGCGTTTAGCACAGCGCTCTATATGAGACTATTAAAGGAGATATATGCTGATTATAAATATATAATAAAAAATATGAATATATGTATATGATGAGTATGTTGTATTTTGGCGCCATGCCGGGATATAAAATGAATTTTGAGACAAGAGGCGGTTTCGCGGGAAATTTTGGCGGGATTTTTTTCATTTTTTTAATGAATCATAAAGAAAACATCCTCGCTCTTGCAAAAAAATGCAAAGACTGTAAAAAAATCTACGAGACATTGGTAAAATGCTTCGGTATGGATGCTCCTAACTATTCCACTGTAACGTATCATGTTAGGATGTATCACTTCATGAACAAAAAGGCGCCCATCATAAAAATTGACAAAAAATCGCCGGATCAAAGAAAAATCAAAGCAATTCTTCAAGCGCTAGATGAAGACCCAAGAGCATCACTCAGAAGGATAGAGGAGATGACAAAGATACCACGTACAACAGTCAGTTATTATCTGCACAATTATTTGAACTACAAACTAGCGTATACACGTTGGGTTCCGCACAACCTTAATTCAGTTCAAAAAAAATCTAGAGTCCAATCTTCGAAAGAGCTCCTCTCTATATTGGGTGCGTATCAATCCAAGAAGTTTCGCTTTTTAGTAACAGGGGACGAGTCTTGGTTTCAATATGCAACAGAAGCCAAAATCATGTGGATCCCGAAGGCTGAAAATCCGCAAACATTCCCGAAGAAAAAAATTGACACACCAATGATGATGTTGTCGGTTTTTTGGGGCGTGAATGACATCATCGCAATTGATATTCTTCAAAAACCTAATACGATGAATGCTCAGTATCTAATTGACAATGTTCTTACTCAAATTATCAATTCTGATGAGTTTGAGAAATCCAAACAACAAAAACAAAAGTTTGCAATTCATTTTGATAATTCAAGAGTTCACAAAAGTCATAAGGTAATGAATTACTTGGTGGAAAACAATGTCAAAGTTGTTCCAAACCCAATTTATTCACCTGATATTGCACCCTCTGACTTTTATTTATTCGGCACGCTAAAAAAGAGAGCTGAAGGACGCGAATTCGCGAGTCCAGATGATCTTGAAAATTTTGTAAGAGAGCAATTTGAGCAATTTTCTCATGATGATTTAAAGCGTGTCTTTCAAGCCTGGATCGATCGCTGCGAACGCGTGATTGAATCCAATGGTGATTATATTTAAATAAACTTTATATATATGTAACTTGTTTATTTCTATTCGCAGTATTCAGGTTTGTGCTAAACACACCTTTGGACACCCTATATTACGGAGTTATCTGATACAAAAATACCTGAAATGAATTGTCGTATACCGGTAGTTTATAAATGTACATGCGATTTCCCAATTAAATACAAAAGAATTACAAGGAAATAAATTGTTTGAATACTTATCTCCAACTGTCAGTAAGTTTAATATAAGACTTGTCGAACCTTCTTCAATGAAAGATGTTGTGCTACCCAAAGACGGAAAGGATGGACTCATTATTGAGATGATTTTAATAGCATATTAAATGAGTTTGTTCTTGAAGGTCATTCATGATGAAATAACTGTTGTAGAAGATGTTAGCAATTGTTCAGACATTTTGAAGCGTATAGATGATATAAGAAAGAAGTTAGATAGACCGCAAAGCGGTGAGAACGCTTATGTTTCATTGACTTTCTCCAGTAACGAGAACTTTTATGAGATAATATTGAAGAGAGATGATTTTAATATGGTGTAAATGGTAGTTTGGGCAGCTTTAGGCGCAATGGGAACAAAAGCATTAGCATTTGGAGCAAAAGCACTTGGAGCTTATGACGCAGTAAATAAAATGAGTGGAGGAAGGGTTTCGAAGACATTAGATGCAAATAAAGGGAAGATTGGAGGCTGGGTTGCAAAGAAGTTAAGATTAAATAAAATAGGGCTCATAAATAAAGCATCCAATTTGGTTGCGACTGAGTCAGAAAATGCTTTAGGAAAGGACGATGAGTTTGCAAAACACGCAAAAGACTTTAATGACCAGATGAAAGGTGAAACAATGCATTTAAATAGATTCGATGGAACTAAAGAAAATGTTTCTTCTCCACCAGTGGTTTATCCATACGGACCTTATGGAATGTATGGAAACCCTTATGAACGACCATTTGACCCATTGACTGGTGGAAGTAACTGGTATCATTACGGACGAAGAAGAAAGACAGTCAAGTTGGAGACAGACGTGAAGAAAGCAACTAAAAAGAAACCAAGGAAGAGAGTTATAAAGCAATGAATTCAACAGGGTAGAAATGAGGTTAGAAATCGGGTTAGATCTAACCATCTACCCTAAATTTATTTTTGTGCTATGTTTTCATACGTGTGAGGGTGGTGATATCATTTATTTTTAAGTTTATTTTTTTTATAAATGACAGAACAAAAATATAACATTTCTACTCAGCAGGAATGAGACCCTTACTGACTATGTATTCGTTTAATGCTTGATGAAAACAATGGTACATATTATCGTATGGGTATACACAGCGTCTGTTTCCATCGTCGTCGTATATGTAGAGCTCAAATCCAGTCCAACCTTCTTTTGTACAATATGTAGCTTTATTTAAGTATGCATTTATGTAGATAAGGCAATTTTCTTCATCGCTCCAGAAATAATTTTTGTTCTTTGTTGAAATAGTTTTCGTTCCTCTGCGACCATAAGGAATGTATGCAATGAACTTTGCGTCATATGGGATTGTAATATATTCAGGGTTTCTTTCATCGTCAATGGGTCTGTCTTTGTTAAAATGCATGTTTCTCAGTTTTACTTGAGTTTTGAATAGTTCACGGAAACGTTCTGGGAAAGAGTCATAGTAAATGTAGTCAGACATGTCTTTACAATGAAATAAAAAAGTTGGAAAATAAAAATAAGGTTAATTTTATTTAGTGAGGACGGTAGTGAATTCGTTAGTGAAGTCGTTAGTGAGGTGAAGTGGTTGGCGGCTTTGTAAATATTTAAGGTTAAGTTGGTGTTATGGTTGTGTTGTAAAATATACGTTAATGGTTTTGTAAAGTGTCAAATTCACATATAATGGGTAAGGTGGAACGCAGTGCCTCCGTACCCATGATAGTCATACTAACTAGGAATACACAATTTCATGCTCACAATTCATCACAACACTCGGCAAGCAATACTTCCAGCAGCAAGATGCCGATGACACATTTCAAAAGATTGTACATGATGTTACGGAATCAGCAAACAAACCAGATATTGCCGTTACATTCCAATATCAAACTGAGACTCCTGATGAAAGCTTCTATTCGGTTTCGCTTCACATTCCTCTTGGTGCAGCAGGTATTGATCAAGGAATTAAACAGATGTGCACAGATGATTCTCATATCAATGAAATCTCAACATTCCTCTGGGTCGACGTTCAGAGGAATTGGTCTGATCCAAATGTCTTCTTTGACAAATTTGAGATCAAGAAGAACTACAAAACTCAACTCAGTGATGGAACGTATGTATTTAAGATACATTCCATTATTGCTTATCATCAAGGTCATTTCGTTGCCTTCGTCAACAAAGGAAGAGTTTGGTTCATGCTCGACGATGAAATTACTTACATTGTTCCTGATGGTTTGATCAAAGGTCTTCAAGGTGGAGATGTTGGCAGCGATTTGTGGTCATATCTTGGTGGTGTCAAATGGCTTGCAAAATGTGTCATCTATCGCAAACACAAGTTCTATGGTGCTGGTGATGATGATGATTGAAAACAGTTTATTTTTTTTAATCTTATTATAAGGGATAATTCTCTAAATATATGATTTTTTCTTAAGTTAGTGAATATTTTTCTTGTGTGCTTTTACTTATTTAAGTATTTAGTATTATTACTTAAAAATTTTGAACATTTATTTTATAATATTGAGATTTAAAATAAACTATTGCTCGATCGTATCTTTATTTGCTCTTTTAATAAAAAATCTAACTTACTATTGATTAGATATTGATTTAAAAAAATAATATAATAGCATAATAAAATTTCTTTATTTCCCCGTACAAAGATATAGCCGTAACAAGACATTAACGTTTGGAAAGTAAATTTGAAAAAAAGTATTATATTATAAAAGAAGTTACGAATTTTTAGAATATTTTTGTAAAATAAGAGCAAAAAGTAGAATGCAAACTCTTCGGGTACTAAAACCTGCCATTAAATTGAGATAAATAATAGATTTTGTAAAATTTTGTTGTAATTCTTGTATCAGTCTTGCCTTGAGTATGGGTTTGAGTCTACCCTTGTTTCCATATTGCCTATTCCTGTTTTAACGCGGCTATTCCTATTCCAGTTTTTGGTGCTTTTCTATGATAACCAAATTGATTTGGTTATCATAGAAAAGAGACCATTATAATGCTTAAAATTAATTATGTTTAGGGCCGGTTTATTGGGATAAGGAAGTTTATAATACGTGAACACTTGTTTCCTCATCGAAAAGTCATAACGCATAAAGTCGATGTTTCCTTAGTACAAAAAGTGACATATGACGCTTAACTCTTTATTCCAGATAATGACCATATTTATGGGATTAAAAAGTTTAGGAAGCTTCTCCCCAATGAGGCAGATGTATTTGATCTAAAGGCAGTGAGAGAACACATCTGAAATGTACTCAAAGATTGTGAAGAAATTGAAACCAGAAACCTCAGTTTATTTATCACTTTTTAGCACTTCACTTGCGATTTTAGGATGTCTACAGAGATCCCAAAGGAGTATTTAGAACTTCACGAAAAGCGTCTTCACGAAATGCTTGAGTACCTCAACAAGGACTGGAAGCTTTCAAAGGAAGAGCCAACAATCAAATTCTACACAGCCACATACCCAGGCAGCTCATTCTCAATGGTAAAGTCCATAGTCTACGTCAATGGCAAGGCCGAAGAGACAGCAAAGATCTTAGATGATGTTTCTACAATCGATGATAAGACACCAAAAGAAATCGCCGATGGAACAAAGGAAAGATACTTATTCGGCGGTGTTGAGGGTGGTGCTCGCTACCTTTACATGGCTCTCGAATCAGGCTCTCGTTTCGTTTCAGATCGTGAATTCTTACTTCTCCGTAAGCGCTACGACCTTGAGGACAAGAAGGTTTGGCTTTGCGTCTCCATCGATAACACAGAGCTCAAGCCAGTCGGCAAGGGCAACGTCCGTGGAAACATGACTTTCCAGGCCTACATCCTCGACAAGGATCCAGCCAACAACGAGGATCGCCTTACATTCATTGTCCATGCCGATCCATGTGGCTCAATTCCTGCTATGATTTACAATTCCGTTGCAACAAATCAAGGCAACGGAGCACGCAAGATTCGTGACGATGTCATGAAGGAGAAATAAAGAATATTTATTAATTGATCAATTACAGTTTATGTTTTTACATAATTGATTACTTTTGTATAATTATAAATATTTATACCTCTGACTTTCACTGCCAGGCAATACAGCATTTTTTGGACAAAATCAGCAAGCATTATGTATATGCAGATAGATGCATTGCTAATTATTCATAATTTCTATAAGTTTGAAACAGATGTATGATTTATAATGATATACTTAAGATGATTATCTTCACAATATTATTGTTACCATAAATACAGGATTTCGTTACACTGAGTAGCACTGATTGACTCAATGATTTTGTTTTTTCAAAAAGAAAATCATTCAATATAATTTTTAATAACCAAATTAATTGGGACATTATTTATTTGATCATTTCATTTACGACTGAAATTATCGGTTTGGTTCTGAAAAAATAAAAATGCCAAAATTCTTTGTTCACTGCGATATTATTTTCATCAAAAATTTCATTCACTTTTTCAAACGAATTTTAAGGGTATAGTAAACTCAAAATTCTAGAGTTTTGAGAGTGCCAATAAACTCTATAGGCCTATATATATCTATATTTTAAAGGAGAGGTTACGCCATAATATTTGATATTATAAATTATTAATTCAAAATAAAAGTAGAAAATGAAACTAATTTTATTCTAACCTATATAAATATATCAATAATCTAAAATGATTATAGTCTGAACTATATTTTACCAGATTATCAAATATAAGAGAAATGAAATAAGGCATAAAAATATCATAGCATAATTATTGGATAAATGCATTAATAAATTATTTATATCATAATGAAAAAAAAAAAAAAAAAAAAAAAAAAAAGGTAGTGGGGCCTCCAGGCACTTCGTGCCCTCTAGCCCTGAAGATGTTTAGTATAAATGAAGTTTATATTCGGAGGACTCTTCTTCTTCCTCCATTGCTTCTGGGAAGAAGCCTTCTTCTGGGTCGAAAACATTATATAATGTGTCGCTTTTCACAAATTATATATGTTTTCATGTTTTGTCACTTTTCTGTCACTTTTCGGGGAAAAACATTTTTATTATTATATATAAATGAATTTTACAAAACCACCGTTACCGTTCTTTGGAAATAAGAGTAGATGTAAAGATATTATATTGAGAGAACTTAAGAAACTACCGAATGGTCTAACATTTGTAGATTTGTTCGGTGGAAGTTTCTATATATCCCATTTGTGCCATATAATATTCCCAGACTCAAAGATTATATGCAATGACTTCGACAACTATATGGACCGTCTCAAACATATTCCAGACACAAACAATATATTGAAAGAGTTAAAAGAAAAGATACCTATAGGTAAGATGGAACGTATACCATTAGATAAGAAAAATATTGTGAGAGAGGTTTTGAAAAAAGCAGAATATATAGACTGGAATAGTATATCTGCTAGACTATTATATAGTGGTGCTATAAGAGTTCATGACATTGAAACACTTATGTCAAAAGTTTTATATCTTAACTATACAAATGTTTTCAAAGAGGACATAGAAAAATATATTGAGGGTATAGAGTTTGTGAGATGTCATTGGACAGATTTGTATGAAAAATATAAAGACAAGGAAAATGTTTTTTTATAGTGGACCCGCCGTTCTATAACACATGGGATTTTCAATACCAAGTAGACTGGACTTTGAGAGACTCTTTAGAAACTTTAGACGTTATACATAACCATCCATGCTTTTACTTTACATCCGATAAAAGTGGTTTGGAAACCGTTATGAGATGGTTAGAGGACATACATGACTATGAGTTTATATATGACAAGATAGAATATGAGAGAGGTCCTATAAACCGGAGAAAGTGTCACAATAAAGAAATTTTATTAGTAAGTAAATGTGGTTTGAAATCGGATTGTTAGTTTTAGGTTTTTTCCATTGTGTCATTTATTTATTTGACGTGGCAGAAAAGTACAGAGAATATGAAGATGAACCAATGCCTGCAAATGTTCAGTATATGTACTCGTAAGAGATATTTTTATCTAATATTAAATGGACGCACAGAACTTAGCGAATGCACAGCAACCTGGACAACCAAACCCAGAGAATATTCCAAATGAAGTTAGAATACAAACTGCAATGGCAAACTATGGTCAAGTGCCAACAGATGTACAAATGCAAACTGCCATGTCAAATGACGCTGCGTTAGGTTTGCCACCATGGTATGCAAATATGAGATGGAAAGAGTTTTATACAAACCCTGAAGTGGGATATAAACAACTTTATGCAGATGACGCGAACACAGGAGTTGACCCAGAATATGTTTTCTACCAGAGGAGAAACAGAATGTATGAGCTCCAGTTAAAGATGCTATGGAACTCAACAGGAAACGTAAGAGACTAGGCGGACATTAGATTTTTACATATAGTAAAATGGGTTTCTTCAGTAAGATAGGAAACTTCTTTCGAAATGTTGGAAGAGGTATATGGAATGGAATAAAAACCGTAGGAAGAGGAATTTGGAACGGAGTCAAAAATATTGGTAAAAGAGTAGGTCAGTTTGTTGGTATTATACCTAAAGACCCTGAACCAGAAGAACAAGCTCCTGTTATACAACAGCCTGAACCTGCACCACAGTCTAGTTGGCAACCAAATCCAACACCTCAACCGTATTAAAAAATTATATTTTTACCGTTCGATAGTAGTTGTATATGAAACTAAGTTCTAAGTAAAACGCATGGTATAATGGAATTATTCTTTTCTTCCATCTGTAGTAAACCATACTTGAAAGTCTGAAATACTTCCACTTGGTGGTTCGTATAACTTTGTAGGTTTTTCGTAAAAGTCATTTGCCAAGCATAAGAAAGAGTTTTGGGCGCCAGAAAATGAAGCATGAACAATAATAGCAGCTGGGTCGAAAACATCTTTAAATAAATATGGTTCATCTCTTGCATATCGACTGTAAATATTTGCTAAAGGAAGTTCGACTTTCTGATTTAACATTCTTTGCAAATAATACCATGACATTGCAGTGAATTCTGTATATATTTGTTCGTCTTTCTTTGGATTGTCTTCGTAGATTTGAAATGACACTTGTGAATTTTGTTTGTCATATACAATTCTCACATAAAGTGTGCTCTCGGTATTTGCATATTCATCAGCATATTTTGCATAACATGAATTTATTTTATCTTCTATATTTTTTAACGCAGTCTGTAGAGAAGATGAAAGGTCAACTTGTATTAGCTCAATTTCTTCCCACATTTTTCGTTTCCCTTCAGATATATAATCTATATGAAACCTTACAATAAATGGAAAACTTTTATCTTCTACAGACACAAACTTCATTCTACGAAAGCCAATAGCTTTTGTGACAGATGGGTCTCTTAACCATCTTAATGGGTAGTCAAAACGATAGCCTTCATGCTTTACGGTCTCTGTCTCAAACTTTTGACCGACATTAGTAAAAAGTTCATCTAATGGTTTAGTTGTAGCAACTCTTGAATTTTCTTTTTCTATTGGAAGCATATTTTATCTAGAATAAAAATGTCAAATGAAACAGCGTCTATGAGAGAAATACAACACAACCGACAACTCATTATACAAGCTCTAAATAAGAACACAACAAACTTTTCAAACTATTCTAAGATATCTGAGTCATTGAAAGAAGGAAACTTAAAACTGACATTAAACCCAATGACAGATGAGTTTCTGTTTCAAGACAATAAGAACCATACTGTCTGTATAAATCCAACAAAAGGAACTTTAAACGAGAAACCTATATCTGAACTTCTTTTGAAAGCAGATATTGACAACAAAGCTGACAAAGAATATGTCATTGAAAAAGTTCAAGAAGAACATGACAGAGCAGATGCAACATATGCAACGAAAGAACATACTCATCCTGAACTAGCAGACAAAACATATGTTGACAATAAAATGTCAAGTGAAGTGACAAGAGCTGAAAACGAATATTCTAAAAAGACTCATACACATTCTATATCTGAAATAACAGACTTACAAGAAACCTTAAACAGTAAAAGTGCCGTTGGACATACACATACCATTGCAAATATTACAAACTTACAAGAAACCTTAAACAGTAAAAGTGACGTTGGACATACACATACCATTGCAAATATTACAAACTTACAAGAAACCTTAAACAGGAAAAGTGACGTTGGACATACACATACATCTTCTGAAATAACAGACTTAAACGTTAGCCTTGAAAAGAAAGCAGATAAAACATATGTCAATGAAATATACCAAAGTTTGATAGGAACAACGAAAAATATTGAAACTATTGTTGGTGACTTTTCTGTCAATGAAGAAAACAAATATTTTAGATGGGAGTTTGTACACTCCTTAAAAAATGGTATACGGTATAAACTCATTCCGAAAAATAACAATGAAATGTATGTAGGCTATATAAAGAATAATGGTACACAAGTTAAAGTTCCATTAGACAACAACTGCTACTTAAACTTATATGGAGACGAACAAAAGAAATATTTAAGAGTTTATGAAATGACAGATATGACGTTGGCTGACCCAGCTCCAGCACCATATTATTATGACTATGGTGTTGACGCACATGTAGACCCAAAAAAGCAAACATTATATTTAGAATATTATAGATATAAAAGATATAATGCAATAGAAAAAACGAGAATAGTATACTATTATGAAGATGACAGAAATAAATATTATAGTCAAGACTGTACCTACCCTGAAAACATAAGATTATATTATAAAAAATATTCTGACACAAACCAGAAGAAACCAGAAATAGTTACACTATATTTTAAGTTCAAAAGAGACAATCCTATATTATCTCATATGTTTGATTTAATGAACCCAGTAGGTTCTATTTATACATCTATGGAAGCAAGAGGTCCTCAAGTAATGTTTGGTGTTGGTGCATGGGAACAAATAGTTGACAGGTTTTTGTATTGTGCAAACTCTTCAAAGGAAACAGGAGGAAGTAAAACGATTTCAGGTGAAAATTTACCTGCACATAGTCACTACATAGATTTAAGTACATCTCAAGCAGGTTGGCATAAGCATAGATATTGGGATTGGTCAGGAATGACAAAAGGTCAAGGATATGATGTTAAAGACGACGTTAAGTTTGCTATAAATTGTTACTGGGATGACACTCAGGGAGAAGGAAACCATACACATTTCGTTTCAGGATATACGCAAACAACGGGACAAAGTAAAGAATATATGCCACCTTACATGACAGTTTACGCATGGTATAGAATTGCTTAGTCGTCATTTTCAACTTCTTTAGCATATTCGTCAGGAGTTGTCTTATATTTGTTAGGAACTGTTTTTGAAAGTATACCACCTTGAACTTTGACAAGTTTGAAACGAGGTCTGACAATAGTCGTTTTATCTTCTGCTTGCAGTGTGTACATTTTGCCATGTTTGCCTAAAACTTCATAATATTCTCTTGTATACTTTCTTCTATTTTTACGAACACGAATGTGAGTACCTGTCGGGTTCCCATTGTTGTCATAGTCAATAGTATTTTCATATGGGTCGCGTTTAGGTATTTCTATTTTTACTTTGTCACCTTTCTGAAGTTTGAAGCCCGGCATTCTTTCTTGTTTGTCTCTTTTGACTAAATTATTAAATATATAGTCTTTCTCTAAGTCAGGGTTGTTTTTCATTTCTTCGGGGGAGTGGTTTCCCAAACCTTTTTGTTTACGGTTGTTGTAAATATTTAAAACTTGTCTCATCTTTGCCATGGAGAAGTGTCTATATTTGTCGTCATATGACATTTCATTTGCTTCACCACCTTGTGGTTGGTTTAAGTCTCTTAACATTTTTATACAACCGTCAATGACACCAAGAGCAGAATGGTTTTGGTCGACAATGAAATATTGGTTTACATTTTTTGAACGCAGATAGTTTTTAATATCATCTGATTTGAAAGAACTTTCACAGTCAGATGTCAGTTTTGTTGGATGGTATTTGTCAACGAATATTGTCAAAGCAGTTTTCACATCTAAAATATTTTTGGACCATAATGGTATGGCTTCACAGTATCTTGTGTTTTGACCGACAAATATTAGCCAGTATGGTGGTCCATCTTCTCTATACCTCGGAATGTTTTCCAAGATATCCATAAACCAAGCATTTGGTGTTGAACTAAAGATTTTTATCATGAGTGCTTTTTTTGTTGCTTTAGAAACATAGGGGTCCTTGTTCGGATTCGTCATTTTTTAACCCATAAGAAATGGGTTTATTTGGCGCATTAGCAGGAGTTGCATCCAGATTTTTGCCCGCAGTGGGAACAATAGCCAGAGGTGTATTTGGAGTTGGAAGGAAGATTTTGAGTACATTAGGTATACTTAAAGAGAAAGCACAACCTATTATACAAACTGTACAGAAAGGTTGGGATGTAGCACGAGATGCAGCAAATCTTATTCCAAATCCTGAACAAGAGGAAAAGTTCAAGGATGGATGGACAATGTAGGAAGACAAGCAGGAAACTATTATAACAAAGCAAATGACTACTATAACCAAGCAGGACACTATATGGACCAAGGTGAAAGATTCTTTAACAGAGGATATAACCATGCACAACAATGGGTAAACAATAACCAACCTCAACCGCCTCAAACGTGGGGAATGTAAAGTTTTTTACTGAGATGAAATGAACAATACAGCATTGAGACAAATGGGTTCAAGATGGATTTGTCGGCTTCCAGCAGTTACACAACGTGTTTGTCAAGTTCTTCCTATACCTCAGGAAGTTTTAGACCGACTTAAAAAACAACAACAACCAGTTGAAAACAAACCAAACTAAAATTTTTTACTGAGATGAAATGACCGAAGAAGTTGAAACGGTAGATTTGACACCACAAACAAAAAGTTCAGAAATTGTCAAAACCTGTCAAAGAACTTACAGATGAAGAGAAAAATTCAATAATAGAAAGTGCCAGGTCTGGAAATACAAACCCTAACTATAAAGTCACTTTTCATAGAAATGGAACGGCTAGTATCTCAAAAAAGAAACAGACTCTCACAAATAAAATATTGAAGTCTGAAGGAGCTTTCGAGACAACAGATGGAAAAGTTTACTTCACTGACCAACAGTTCATTATAGAACATCTCATTGACTTAGAGTCGAAATATTCTAAACTTTACAACAAACACAAAAAGTTGAAAGGAAAACAAAAACAAATGGCATATGATATTTATGAAGATGTTGACGACACAACTGTTCCTGCAGGTGAGGTAAAGTCAAAGGAACCGAAAAGTGACGAAAAACCGATAGAAGAAGAAAAACCAAAAACTGAAGATAAACCAAAACCAAAGTTTAGTTTGGAAACTAAACCAAGTCAACCTTCATTAGCTGGTATGGGTTGGCGTCAAAGACTTATGGCAGCAGGTGGTTATGTTAAGTAAAGAAAAAAACATTTTTTTATTTTTATAAAAATGCCCCCATATAGAATGGATAGAAAGTCTGCTAGAATAAAAGCAGAGTTGCAAAGATATGGTTGGAGAGTTTCGAAGAATTTTAAATATAGGAAGGGAAGACCCATAAAAGTCTATGACAAACTGGCTGGTCTTCGCTACGAAATGGATTTGGAAACAGCACGTGCAAATTATCCAAACAGACTAGAGAGGTTAGAAGAAGAACGTCTTATGGACATGCCTTTCGATGTGTTAAACATTGCATGAAGTAAAAATTTATTTTAAAAAAGTGACATTTTTTTATTTTATTTGAAATGTACGCTGAGTTTGTTGGAGAAGACCGTTGGGAAACTTGTTTGTTAGATGAGAAATATGAAATTCACTGTTGTGAGTCATTTGAAGTCAGAAACAAAAAGACAAAAAGAGTTTTAAGCGAATGGGAGCGAAATAACGGATATGCTGTTATGAAGATGGGTGGAAAACACTATCTTAAACATGTTGTCATTGCAACTCATTTTATACTGAATCCTAACAATTTACCTTTTATAGACCATATAAACCATATAAGAAACGACAATAGACTTGAAAACTTACGTTGGGTCACTCTTTCTGAAAACAATAAGAACAAAGGCAAATTTGGAGATATTGTATTCGAATTTGTCGACGAACTAGAAGATGAAACAATTGAAATTACAGACTATGGCAAGCATACGTTTGAGTTTTACTACTATAGCGAAGAACAAGACTCTTTCTACTTTTATACCGGCGTAAACTATAGGAAATTACAAGTATATTTTACTAAGGCGGGCTATGCTTATGTAAACACTAGAGATACAGATGGAAAAAACGTTCAAATACTTCTTAACAAATTCAAGAAGCTATATGGCATACCATTTTAAAACAATATATTTTTACATATATTAAATGCTTCAGGTTGAAAAACAAAGAACAAAAGTAGCAGATACAAAACCGTTAGACTATATCTTTACAAATGCTGGTAGGACAATATCAGATGAAGAAATTTCATCCCGAATATACAGGTTTGACTATCCAATTCGTTGGCTTCAAAGTCCTTCAGATGCAAAGGCAATAGGATTTAGAAGAGTTTTGTTTTCAAATAGAACTAACGCATTTATGTTCGCAGTATATTTTCATGGGCAGTATAAAGGTTCTGATGGTCTAATAGACAAATTTGACGAAATGAGAATCTTTACAGTTCGTTCAGACGAAAGTCTTGAGAAAACTCTAAATGACTTTCAAACTCAAATGAAAAATATTATTGGGAATTTCAAGAAAAATACGACTCTTTACTAAATGGAACATACTATCTGAAACTAGAATATGACAAGATGAACTCCACCGTTTCATTTCAAAAGATTGAAATTAACCCTCCAAGAGATACAGAGTTTTTATTTTGGGAAGTAGACAAACGTTCTTGGGCACAATTTCTTCGGTTACTAAACCAGAACGAACCATTACCACCAGATGGTCCATTTCAATTTATACTTCCACCAGCAGATTTGACAGTTTATAGAAACGTGTTTGACCCTCAAAATGTTATGTGTCATGCAAGTTTCAGTTCAAGCAACAATAGTTTTCTATGTATTGGTAAGGACTTTTATGACTTTGCTTCTAAATTCTACGAACCACCTAGTAACAGTTTCTCTGACTTTCAAGTTTGGTTCACAACAAATGGTGTGCAACATATTATTCCATTGTACTATGACTTTTATCTCGAATTGTCTTTCATATATAACTACGGAAAAGTGCTGAAAAAGTATTGAAAAATATAATTTAGGGTAGAAGGTTAGATCTAACCTCTTTTCTAACCTCTTGAATTTGTCAAGACTTCTTCGTAAATGTTTTGTCAAAACTTCTTCGTACATGCTTTGTCAAGACTTCTTCGTAAATGTTTTGTCAAAACTTCTTCGTACATGCTTTGTCAAACATGAACGTACATGTTTTGTCATGACTTCTTCGTACATGCTTTGTCAAGACTTTTTCGTATATGTTTTGTCATGACTTCTTCGTAAACTAAACGTAAATGTTTTGTGAAGAATATAGCAACCGTCTGAATTCAGACGGTTGGTTTTTATATAAAATTCATGCAGGAAATTCTTGAGTTTTGGTTGAAAGAATACGGTGGAGCCAAAAGTGGCTCGACCTCAAAACAAGCATTTTATGAGCTTACAAAGGGTGTTATGAATGAATTCAAAGGTATTTGCATACATCCTGACCTCGTTCATTTTGTTCCCGGACCAAAAATATAATTTAGGGTAGAAGGTTAGATCTAACCTCTTTTCTACCCTCTTGAATTTTCATGATTTCTTCGTAAATGTTTTGTCAAGACTTCTTCGTAAATGTTTTGTCAAGACTTCTTCGTAATGAGCGTAAATGTTTTGTCAAGACTTCTTCGTAATGAGCGTAAATGTTTTGTCAAGACTTCTTCGTAAATGTTTTGTCAAGACTTCTTCGTAAATGTTTTGTCAAGACTTTTTCGTAAATGAGTGTAAAGGACCCAAAAATAATGTTTAGGGTAGAAGGTTAGATCTACCCTCCTTTCTACCCTCTTTTCTACCCTCTTGAATTTTCATGAATTTTCCCGAAATAAAAAATAAAGTTAGTTTTATTTTTTTTATTTTTTTATTTTGTATAAAAAAATAAAATGTCAACAATCGGCACAACAACAGTTCAAACAACAACTTCACCAAACTCTTTAGTCATGAATCCAACATCTATGCTGGTAGAGATGAAAAGCTTCACTTCGTCTTCATATACTTTTGAAACAGAAATCCAGAAGATAAAGCAGGAACTTTTAACATGTAATTTAGACTGTAGTGCGAAAGATGAAACAAATGAACAGTATCTTTATGAAATGCAGGACATTATTGACCATTTACCCAAATTGCCTGAAATTCAGCAACAAAAGCTCACTATTCCTGAATTCGACGAAATAGAAGTCAAAGCAACTGACTCAGTAGAAATAAAGAAGTTCATACGAAAGGTAAACTATGAGTTTCTAGGATTTCATTGCAACCATAAGGTTATGGACAAAGATTGCGACATGGTATATAAGAATGTTTCTGACCTTTACAAAACCCGGGAGTTTAAGACCTACGACAACTTTGTTTCGTTAGTTGCAAAATGTGTATGGCAGATAAGAGATAAAGATAGAAGAGGTAAGGTATGGAATGAACAAATAAGACCCGCTATGTTTGAGATGAAGAGAGCAATTGACGCTTTAGTTGTTTTAGCTGGTAAGGTTTCAGAATATAACGCAAAGATGAATCCGCAATGTTCTAAATGTAAAGCAGCAATGAGGAGATATAACTACTCCGTCAAAGAGATAGAACGTATGAGAAACGACTATGCAGACTTAAAGAAAGATATGTCAAACATTCAG